ATTGGATCATACTTTTAGATCTAGAAGAATGGTCCTATCTCAGCAGACAATCATAAAACGGTTGCAAAACTGTTGAGTCTGCTGAACGCAGCCAATGTGTTACACAGTGTCTGACTATGGCTATCGGACTAAGCATACGGTGTAAACGTAGCCTATGTCCTTGCTGGAAAGCACCCTATATTTACACCGTATGCTTAGTCCGCGGCCTATACAATAGATGTCCTTGTTCATCCTGTAAGTTAAACAAAGGCTACGTTTACACCGTGCATTTAGGCCGCGGCCTATACGATAGATGTCCTTGTTTATCCTGTATATTAAACAAAGACACCTATCGTATAGGTTGCGGACTAAGCGCACGGTGTAAACGTAGCCAAAGACATCTGTCGTATAGGTCGCGGACTAAGCGCACGGTGTAAACGTAGCCAAAAATAGAAGAGATTAGAGAAAACTGGTCACTTGACTCCCGTCCTGATTGGACGCGTTCACGTGAAACGTTAAATATAAAAGGATGTTTTTCATTTTTTTTTTTTAAAGGAAACATTCCAGAAACAGTCAAGTTTTTTTGTAAGGGTCAATGCAAACATACACAGCCTTTATTTCTGATATAGTATAATCGTAAAATAAAAGTAAATTAATATACATAGTGCGATATATACCCACATTCGCGTGTATATATAAAGCGAGAAAAAACAAAATAGATATGGATGAGTAGGAAATTCGAGGCGTCTGATATGCCAGACAGTTCGTTCTTGTGACTTTCGATATATCGAGGAAAAAAATAAGATTAAGTATTATCCGTAGGATGTAAAGAATACAATCCACTTAACGTAATGTAAACGCTTTGTTAATTAATCAGAAAAAAAGAATTTTACGAATTGACCAATCAAAAAATGCTTCAAAGCATTTTCAACATGAAGTGGATCGCATTCTTTATATCCTAAAATGTAATAGATGTGTGTATGTATGTGACGCGTTGGTCGTTTGAGGTATGTACAAATATTACGGGATTACATTTCCTTCTACGTATACGTATATATAAATGTATGTACATCATATTTGGTATTATATTATTTGGTAACATAAAGTGCACGAATGTCTTTCGCAAAGTAAGAACGTAAGAAGCAAGTTCACGTTTCTCACAAAATTCACCGCTAGTCATATCAAATTCCTTAAATAGTAAATCGCGTCGTAAGGATGTCCCGAGACTACCGGATCTTTTTCCTTTAGTCGATTTGAAGCCGATGTTTCAGTAGAAAGAATATACAACAAGATTTCGCATATTCTTTTTAAATTTCGAGCGAAATTTTAGTTTGAGTTCAGAACATCATGAACGTCAAATACAATTATCAAAAATTATCTCAACATTTGTGTTGAGATGATTGGAGTCCTCTTCGAATCGACCGTGGTTCAAGGAACATTCCATGATCCCGGGACACTACATATATATTTCAACGCGATATATATTTGATGTAGTAAATGATCATGATGATTTATACAATTGTATGCTGAAGAACGTTATTGCAAAACTATATGATTTTTTCCTTCTTTTTGTTTAGAGTAAATATTAAGGAGCGATATCCGTTAAAGTACGCCGGTCTCGCAACAGATTTGACCGAGTACTGTTCCTAAATAGATTCGATCGTATTGGTTACGTATTGATGGCATTAGTGCTATCCAGCGTGTTCACGGTCACCTCCTCAGATTCCGCAACGGATGGATTATTGTTCAGTCCGGCCTCGGTGTTGTAACCCGAGAATGAACAGGCAGGCGCGCTTCTGGCTTGGCTCACCGTGGCCTCGGGTAAGAGCGACGTACGTTCAGTCGCACTTCCCCAAGTTTGCTGATATGCACCACGTCCTCGTATCCTGCGGCTTAGGGACGAGCCGACAACGCCCAAATGTTCCTTTATGTCATTATGCACGTCAGAAACGTCCCACATTGCTCTGTAAAGATAAATCAAATGTATATTAATTTATAGAATAAGGATATAATTTAATTTCGGTACCAGTGCCAGCGTAAATTTTTTTAAATTAAAATAAGCAAACATTTGTTTAAAAGTGCCTCATAAGTAGTATTTATTGTTTTACTAACCTAAATGCGTCCCACCAGGCTTGACCCTGCGCCAAATTGACAAACGGTTTGTAGGAGAAGCTATAGTGATGCGCCACTGCGGCTAAAAACATCTCTATGCAAATTAGGAAATCCTGCAATTTGGACGATATATTCCTGATGTCATCTGAGTTGTCAGTATTAAAAATACTCGATATAACGTCGAAATACACCAAAAAAGCTATTAATACTCCTTGACTGTAAATCAAAAACACAATATGTATTTTTTCATCTCATTTTCAGAATGTCTTGAATCAAAATACCATGGCTAGAAAGTTTTTAAAAAATTAATTAGAAAAGTATTTGCCATTTTTCATTCCGAATAGTAATTTGTAAAATACAAAAGTTTAAAATTAGCTAATTAGAGATTACGGTTAAACGGCTACTTGTCTGTGAGTTATGCAATGATATGGATCGCGATCATGGGTAGTCAACCATTTAATTATAATTTGTAGTTAGTTAGTTTCAATACCTCAAAGTCTTTATATTTCAAAAACTGCTTGAATTTATTTTTTTAAAAGAACAGCTTTCTTGTTGTGATATTTTGATTCATGGATTTCGGGACACCTTGTTTGTATATTTTTCTGACAATAGGTTGTGCGGACATTACAGCAATACTTACAAGAATGAGAAGAACACAACAGCTTTGATGCATAAAAACTTTCCAATTGGCTTCATTGGCTTCAAGGCCTCTACGTTGGCACGGTAAAAGAGTACCAGACAGTACATGGCAACGAATTGTGACAAATTGTTTAGAGCGATCATATACGGGAAAGCGACATTCCCTTTAAATTCACCTTCCCCATATACTCCATTCAGTTCGCATATGCTACAAAAATATAGAGATATGCATTTAAATATTAGAACACACAATATTAGAAATACATATCCCTATCAATCAATCACTTACAATGATATTAAAGTTGATATAGGCCTAACAGCTGCATATTGTAAAATACCATGCTTGCACATATGTACAAATTCTCTGCCCATCTCCCAATCGGGTAGGCAGCACAGAGGAAACATATGATGCACTTGAGGAGAAATCTCCAGTCTATGCTCCAACTGGTGGTCGGCGTTCAGATAGGCCAGTAAATACTTCATGAAATTATATATTACATAAGCTTCGTAGCATTCTCTCAAGCTGTCCACATATATACTTCCTTCAGGAAATACCAAACCTAACCACTATACAAATAGAAAGCGTTCGTTAAACAACTGAGTAAATATTTGTATAATTTTAACGATACACAAGAAAAATTTGTAACTTTTTCTTACAGCATTTACTGCATAGATAGGTACCATCCATAATATTCTGAAAAGAAAAATAACATTTTTATATTTAATACCTGATTGAGAAGAGAAAAATTAAAATTAAATCTGCAAATTTTTTTAGCGACAAATAATCCACCTTATTATATATTTCTGTAGTCTAGGTTGCGTATAGTATATCATGTGCTGAACAATCTCATAAAAGGCGATAGGCAATGCCAATAGGACGAAGGCGCCACCCACCAGCGCACCCTGATCCTGCTTTTTAAAGCCATTCTTAATGGAGTTGACTAGCAAGATTGGTACAAGTATAACAATGAGTAGCGCATATAGGCAGGTCAGCACAGGCAATATCCATAATCTCCAACGTCGGCAGATCGAAGCCATCACTCTCCTTGGATGCTTCAAATGTCACATTATAATTTTAGACTGCAACTGGACTCAGTTCTGAAAATGTAAACAATCATTAAAGACTAGCAACAACAATAAGGAATCTTAAATTCACATCAGAGTTTATGACACTTTTTATAATCAATTTTGGATAAATTGTAACAACTGCAATAAATAAAATGTTAGGAATTTGCCAGCAGATCATGAAGAATATCTGGGTGCTTTCCATTTAATGACACAAGTATCGTTCAGACTTTGTTACTCATGGAATTTAAGATGGAACGATTTTTGTGTTGACTTGTGATTAAATGGAAAGTACCTTCTGTCACTTTCATAACAAATTAAATAGAGCATGTCATCAAATGATTCTTTGCTCATTTATTCCATTTAAATAATTACCGAATGACAGATTTTACTCAGTTTTTGTAATAAATCTGTCATCATTTTTGCTATATTTCTGTCGACAAAATTTGTAGCTAGATTTCGTTTTTGATGGAGTTTGCTATCTGAAAGGAGGATAATGTACTAAGTTGCACTGAAAAATAAAGGTTTTTGGT